TTCCCAGTTAAATCATCCCAGCCAGGGCTTTGTCAAGCCTGACCTTAAAAACCTCTAAGGAAGGAGATTCTACCACCTCCCTAGGTAACGCATTCCAGTGTTTCACCACCCTCTTAGTGAAAAAGTTTTTCCTAATATCCAATCTAAACCTCCCCCACTGCAGCTTGAGACCATTACTCCTCGTTCTGTCATCTGCTACCATTGAGAACAGTCTAGAGCCATCCTCTTTGGAACCCCCTTTCAGGTAGTTGAAAGCAGCTATCAAATCCCCCCTCATTCTCTTCTGCAGGCTAAACAATCCCAGCTCCCTCAGCCTCTCCTCATAACTCATGTGTTCCAGACCCCTAATCATTTTTGTTGCCCTTCGCTGGACTCTCTCCAATTTATCCACATCCTTCTTGTAGTGTGGGGCCCAAAACTGGACACAGTACTCCAGATGAGGCCTCACCAATGTCGAATAGAGGGGAACGATCACGTCCCTCGATCTGCTCGCTATGCCCCTACTTATACATCCCAAGATGCCATTGGCCTTCTTGGCAACAAGGGCACACTGCTGACTCATATCCAGCTTCTCGTCCACTGTCACCCCTAGGTCCTTTTCCGCAGAACTGCTGCCCAGCCATTCGGTCCCTAGTTTGTAGCTGTGCATTGGGTTCTTCCGTCCTAAGTGCAGGACCCTGCACTTATCCTTATTGAACCTCATCAGATTTCTTTTGGCCCAATCCTCCAATTTGTCTAGGTCCTTCTGTATCCTATCCCTCCCCTCCAGCATATCTACCACTCCTCCCAGTTTAGTATCATCCGCAAATTTGCTGAGAGTGCAATCCACACCATCCTCCAAATCATTTATGAAGATATTGAACAAAACCGGCCCCAGGACCGACCTTTGGGGCACTCCACTTGATACCGGCTGCCAACTAGACATGGAGCCATTGATAACTGCCCGTTGAGCCCGACAATCTAGCCAGCTTTCTACCCACCTTATAGTGCATTCTTCCAGCCCATACATCTTCTAGGTGTTTGCAAATTGGTTGCTTGATTATTTGCTCCATTATCTTTCTAAAGGACTGATAAGATCATTTTTGTTTTATTAACACTGCTAATCCTAACCATTTCAGTGACTGTTGATAGGTTTGTCAATGAATCTGGTTGTCATTGGACACATAGGCACCGACTCCGTGGGTGCTCCGGGGCTAGAGCACCCAGGGGGGAAAATTAGCAGGTGCTCTGCACCCACCAGCAGCCAAGCTCTCCCTCCTGCTCCCCCACCAAGCGTGCTGCATCCCCAATCCTCCCCCTCCCTCCCGGCGCTTCCTGCCCGCTACCTAACAGCTGTTTGGTGGCTCTTAGGACTTTCCAGGAGGGAGGGGGAAGAGTGGGGACGCAGCATGCTCAGGAGAGGAGGTGGAGAAGAGGCAGGGCAGGGGAGGGGACTTGGGGGAAGGAGGTGGAATCGGGGCGGGGCAGGGGTGAGAAAAGGTGGGGCAAGGGTGGGGCAGGGGCTGGAAGAGGCAGGGCAGGGGCGGGGCCAGGAGGGTCGAGCACCCACCGGGCAGAGGGGAAGTCGGCACCTATGATTGGACATATCTGTCATCAAATGAATGCCTCAGCATGTGAGCTTCTATTCACATAGCCCATTTTCCAGCCCTCATGAATTTGTAGAACAACTCGATAATGGGAACCAAGTGTAAACAGATTCAATGTTCTGTTCTGCAAACAGCCTGGTACAACTGCTTTGAGAGACCTGTGGACAGCCCCGCTCCTCTCAATTAGATTGCTAACATTCTACATCAGAGCCAGCGCTAGGCATAGCAGACTAAGCAATGGCATAGGGCCCCAAGCAGTTCTAGGGGGCCCCATTACTTATTAGTATGTGTTGTGTATGGCGCCTCCCAAAATATTCCTGCTTAGGGCCCTCAACGGGCTCGCACTGGCACTGTTTTATGTTGTCATCATTAGGTTTCAGCATCAACATTGTTAGCTGTGTCACCGCTGATTTCGGCAGAAAGATCCAGATGATGAGGAACTTCAGATGGCAAAGTGCTAGAATGACAAATTATTTAATGTAGATGTTCAAAGATTGTCAAGGGCCTGCAGAACATGGGATGGTCACTTTTTCAAAAGAAAAAACGATACTTTGTAAAAATCCAAGTAAGTAAATAAATATCACGGAGGCACCAAAGTTGTCCTGCAGGGAAAGCTGCACTGATGTTTGCCTTTACAGCAATGTCTAAATCTTGGGGGGGGAGGGGAGGTGTTAATATTGGCAATATAGTGCCAAACTCCCATCTTTTCTCTTTTGAATATATAATCCATTTTCTGAGAGACAACAGGTAAATCTGCTAATTAGGTTATTGATCCATAGTATTTTAAGGCCAAAGGGACCACTATGACTATCTAGCCCCCAGGAATCTCAAGCTGGGGGTCACCAGCAGGCTGAGGGTGGTTGTGAGCACCATTCCTCACTTTATGGTTGGGGGGATAGAGGCCATTTTCTATTTCAGCAGGCGGTCACAGTTTGGAAAAAGTTGAGAACCAACAATTTAGTCGGACCTCCTGTATAACAGAGCCCCAGAGTAGCACCATTAATTCCTGCAGTGGAGGGAATTGTTTTTTGCTACTTTGTTATCCAGCGCTCAAGCCCAATAAGCCCATAATAAGCTGCATTTTAAAATTACTCCTTTTCTGGGAGCAGGGAGGAAGTGGGAGAGAATGGAGTCTAATATAATAGATTATTCCAAAACCTAAGGCTAGTTGAAATGTTTATTCACAGACATGTTTTTGACGAGTGACACCTGTAGCCAGAACCACGTCCATTTCTGCTGCTGGGTTTGTCAGAGAATCATTGTTCCATCTAATGGATTTGGGGTTTTTTTTTTGAAATTGCATCTACATAGACATTCAAGTCAAGCATGTTAGTCTGAGTCTTGGCCATCGAGTTGCGGAGGGAAGAGCACTGTGCAAGCCCATGCGGGGAACCAGGCACTCCAGCCCAATGAGTGCAGCCTGCGAGTAGGTGGCCTGCATCTTCTGACTGGCCACAGCAGCAAAAGGGAGAGTCATGAAAGTCCCACTTATAGTCATTTGCAGCACATCTGATCACTCTACATTTCAATTGATTAAGCTTGGCCCACAGATGGGGCAGAAGTTAAAACCAGGGGGCTGGACTGTTGGATCTGTCATACGATAGGCATTGGCTCCTATGGCACCTGGAGATGACATCGAGTTCGTTAAAGGAATTGTCCAAACGGGCACGGCTTGGGCTAAAATGGTAGATTGGTGTGTTAGGCACATATTTAACCATAAGGAGCAGACTCTGCATGAGGACTTGTCAGAAGGGGGGGATGTTGGACAGGACTGGAAGCCAGACCAGGTTGGTTGGTTGGTGTCATGGTACCAGTTATTATACCCACGGTTTCATTCGTCAATGGCGAACGGGTCGTGGAGAATGTCACTGCAGGATAAATCCCTAATAAAGAATGCTTTCTCTGCCAGCTTCCCATCAGGGCTGCCTTAGAACGCAGCCAGTTCTCTGCGTCACTGCCTAGCTGGCTGGGCTCCATGCAAGGACCCCTGCCTGGAACTTGTTCCTTGGACATTGAGAAATCTCTCGGAAAGGAGCTGCTCCCCGATATCTCTAAGGTACCTATCTGGCCCCTGTGAGCATAGTATCTGAGCACCTCACCATACCCTTGTGCTATTATTCTCATTGTACGGATGGGGAACAGGCACAGATCCTCATGCGTCTAACTCCCATTGGTTTCCCTGAAGTTAGGAACTTAAATACTTTTGTGAATCTGAGCCAAAGAGACTTGCCCAAGCTCATGGAGGGAAAGCTGTGGTGTAGCAGAGAACTGTACCCAGGTCTTCCACCAATGGACCATCATTCCTCACTGAGATCTCCAGGAGAACTCCCCGCTTTAGGTGAGCGGCATGGGAGCTCCTCAAGTGCAGACATGGGGGAACCCCTTTAGCAAATACTACCCCCCAGCAGCTTTGCACTCACCTTGTGGCTTTGGCCAAGACCTTGTGCTTTTCTGTGCCTCAGTTTCTCCATCCATACAATGGGGATGAAGACTCTCATTGTGGGGCTCATGAGGCGGTGAAGTGCACTGAGATCCTGGAGCCAGAAGGAGACCACCAGAGGTGCCCTTGAATTTTAGGCTCCTTGGGGCGGGTGTGTGTGTGTGTTTTGTGATACAAGAGCAGCCCACAGAACTTCATAGAATCATAGAATATCAGGGTTGGAAGGGACCTCAGGAGATCATCTAGTCCAACCCCCTCTTCCTCTTCTGCTGCTTCGCCCTGTCTAATTTTAAGCTGCAAGCTGCCCAGCGTAGGGCCGATACTGTTGCATGTCGGGCCACTGCCAGAACCCCATGGACGCTGGGGGTCTTCCAGAACAGCAGCAGCGTTGCCAGAGGGGGCAGGAGCGCACCTGCGGGGTGGGGGAGGAGATGCTTTTCCCTGGTGAATTGCCCCCAGGCTGTGCTGCACTGGGAGGTTGCATGCAACCAGGGCTGTCTCCTCCGGAGGGGCCTGTATCTTGGGGGTAAGGGGAGAGTGGGGAGAAAGATGTAGGGAAACAAAGAGACAGGCCTTAGTGCAGGGGATTTCTGTTAGCCCCACACCCCTCTTCAGATCGGATGCATTTTAAAGATTTATCATTTTTCCAACCCCAAAGCAGGGAAACAAGATCAATAGCCCCCGGCTCCCTTGGGAGAGAGGTAAACGGAAACCTTGGGAAAGGGAGACAGCTATGAATGGGGCTATTCTTATCTTGGGAGCAGCCCTTTCCCTCCGCGCCTATTGTTCATCCATGCACCCAGCACGGCGGCGGGGGGGGGGGAAGGGGAGGGAACCCCTCTGTGCTCCAACCTCCCCAGGATCAACCCCCTCCTGGCATCTCCCTTCTGCTCCCCCCACCCCAACTCTCACACACACAGCTGGCCTAGGCTGCCAGCTGCTCTGTGCGCAAGCGTGGTCAGCAGGGGCGGACCGACCTCAGCCGTTTGCCCCAGCCCACGCTCCTCGCTTCCCCGCTCGTGTTAACTTTATATCGTGCCATTATTTCGCATCCCTCCCTCCCTCCCTCCTTTGCAAAGCAGCTCCGTTCTGCAGCCCTTCCTCCGGGGAGCCCTGCAGCCCCCCGCACAATTCGGATTACAATCCTTTCTTCCCTTTGGAGACGCCTTTGGCCAGCAAATAGCGGATCGCAGCCCCCTCCTCTCCCTAGGCACCCGGATGGCTGCTTGAAGGTGAGTTTAAGCAGCTCAGCTGAGCAGACCGGGGGGGGTGCGTATAAGTCCCTGTACCCGAACCCACCCCAAGCGTTAGTCGTTTTACAGGGGGAAATTGGTCAATTGCATTCCTCTGGCTGCAGCACTGGGGTGGGTGGGTGTGTAATTGACATGCTGCCTGGGACAAACCCAGGAGGGGCGTGCGGGTCTGGTTTTTGTTTTGCCTTTGTTTTTGTTTACTCCTGAGCTAAAAATAAAACGAAACCGGATTTAAAGGCCGCAACAAAAGGCGCCCATAAACTGGGCTCTTGTCCACCGCTGATCCAGAATCCACCTTTAAAGCACTGCAGGGAGCAGCCTCTTGTGCCTGAAATGTTCTGGATGTGTTTGAACTTGGACCTCTGTTTCTGCTTTTCTGATTTTAAGACTAGAAGGATCTAGTGAGAAATACTGCAGGTCTTTTTGATAGGCTCGTTTGGGGTATCTGGTTATCTAGACTTCTTAAGGGGGTGGGGGGAAAATAAACAGCCACCACCAAACTTCAGGCTTGGAAAAGATGAGATTCAGGAAGGGTGATGTATTGACTTGTGTCTAATCTATGCATCGCATCACTGGCTGCTTGGTGTAGGAAACAGCTTCTAGTGGTTCTGAAACTAATGTTAATGGGGGAGCTAGTAGAAGGCATGTGAGAACAACGAGGTGCATGCTGAGTTAGTGGAACTTACTGCTAAAAGGAAATCACAGGAATGGGATGGACAGACACACACATGAGTTTGGTTTTCATTAGGCTCTGGCACTCAAAAAACGTGATCTTGCTGGATTCGAATATTAGCAATAGATCAGTATTATTATTTAAGCGGGTTTTGCATTGATTTTGTAGATCAGTGCTTATTCGGGAAAAGGAGCCCTAAAACCAGGACAGAGATTATTTTGGGGGCCTCTAAATGTGACCTGAAGAAGAGCTCTGTGTAGCTTGAAAGCTTGTCTCTCTCACCAACAGAAATTGGTCCAGTAAAATATGTCACCTGCCCCACCTTGTCTTTCTAAATGTGTCACCCCTTTAAGTATATGGCTAATAGTCGCACTTGGATATTTGGACAGGGGCATTGCAGATCTGTGTGTCCGCAAATAACCCCTCAGATTTGTGCTCTGGGCGCTATTGCAAATACAATTTGGTTTTTGGTTTTCAGTTTCTTCCTGTTTACTTGTTGCTTTGTGAAAGGGTGTCTCTGCTGAGGGTTCAGGTCGCTGGCATGCACACATATGAATGAGCTCTAGATGCTCCACTGCAGGAGGAACTGTTAAGAGCCATTGGAAATTCAGAAATCTTGGGAGGTGGGTGGGGAAGAAAGAAAGTTGTCCATTGGGGTCTTGCATGGGATGGATTTGTCAGGAAGAGGGCATGGCAAATTAAGGGATCAGAGCATCTAGGAGGAGGTTTGTGAAGTGTTTGAATGGACTAGATTCAATGCAGGCACGCAGCTGTGTGTATAACTATGCAAATATTAACCCTGTGTATGTGCATTAGAATCCTCCTACACCACCAGAAACAGTCCAGCACAGCAACCTGCTGACTTGTTGGTGACATGAGCTAATTTGTGTTGCCTCCCTCCATGGCTCCATATTTTGGGAGCGCTGATGCGCGTGTGTTTGGAACGTACTGATAATATAGTAGCAAACACTAAGCATGATTGATTTGTAAATCAAACCAGCTTTCTTTACAAGGCCCCAACCCTTCTCAGGACCTCCTCTGACTGTGGCTCCTGAGAGGTTTCCTTGCCTAATAAGCCACTGTGCTTCTATGGCACCTTTTTGCTTGACACAAGGGCATAAGGATCCCTTCCCCTATGGGGCATCTGGTGCAGTGATAAGTGGCTTGCTCAAGGCCAAAGAGCAAACCAGTACCAGCTGGGAACGGAGCCCAGGTGTCCTGAGTCCCCCTCTCCTGCTGAGTCTGCTCAGTCATGTGTGCAGCTCCTGGGACTGAGTTGATAAGGGAAGTGGTTTGTGGGTGTAGATAAAGAGAAATGAGAAGGAAAGGGAAGTGGGCTGCCTCCTTTTGAGGTTACTGTCCCATCGCTGGGGCGGTGCTAGTCAGGGGCAAGGTTTTGTGTTTGTTTTTAATTTAAACTGGTGGCTCTGCCCTGTGAGGTAGACAGCCCCCACATGGGACTGATCGATCGTAAATATCGGGCAGTCCCGGCCTCTCACCAAAGGCATATGCATCCTCCCCATGGCCGCCAGGGAAGGCTTCCTCATTCAGGCTGCACACTCCAGCCTGCTCTTTCTTAGGAGCTGGTGCGGCCTTGCTGAGAATGGCTTGACCTGCTGGTATTGCTGATGGGGGAGTATCTTTCTGCTGCTCTACAGGCTTTTCCTCTAAGGAGCAATTGAAAACACACATGGCCTGTTGGAGCCCAGGCAATTAGCTGTTGCCTGCTATGTCCAGTGAGGCATTTTCCTCTCAACAAACACACTTAAAATTGGGTTGGGCAATGCAGTGTCCCTGGCAATAGCGAAGCGATAGAATCTGGCTGTAATGAATATAAAGGGGGTGTTTTACTGAGGCTGCTGGATGCAGACAGATCTTGTCATCCTCTCCAGCTCCCAGGCTGGCTGTACTACCTAGCATCACCACTCGGGCTCTCCCGAAGTCCTGGCCTGAATTATATAGTCATGGACCTGCTGACTGCACTACCAGCAAGTGCCCCTGTGAAATGGCTCCAATGCCTGCTGATGGGCTGGAAGCAAAGAATACCCAGATAGTTACATGTGAAGTGCCCATCAGGGACCAGAGGAAATCACTTGCCTGAGAAGTCTGACTGATGTAGGGCCAATAGCTGATTTAGTTGGGGATTGGTCCTGCTTTGAGCAGAGGGTGGGACTAGATGACCTCCTGAGGTCCCTTCCACCCCTGAGATTCTAGGATTCTATGATCGTTTGGACGAAGCAGCAGGGAAAAGCTCGCTAATGGGTACTGTGGGGTAGAGCTGCTTAGTGAGTTGGTTTGGGATGAAAACAGTGAGAACTCCAAGCTAATATGTGAGGTGGATGCGGGGGTGAGAAGGAACGTGATGTGCAGGGAGGAAGATGCTTTGGAGGTGGTGAGGAGGAGAAGCGATCTTGAGGTGGTGGTGGGTGCAAACAAGATGGGAACTTTCAGTGTGGCAGGAAGGGCTGTCCCCAACACCAATGCGTGGGGAACAGTGCATAAAGATCTGGGTAACTCTCATGCCAGGAAAGTCCTGCCAAGGGAGAGGGGCTCCTGACAAAGGAGAGAGTCAAGCGTGTGTCACCTCAGTGGTGGATGGGGAGCAGAGTCTGCATGCTCAGAATACAGGCCACATCTAGTGCCTCTCGTCTGATGTTCCCAAAGCACCTCACTCAGATGGGGGTGATCTTGGGCATACTGAGAGCAAAGTGGCTTCCAAAGGTCACCCAGCAATAGAACCATGTCTGGAGCCCAGGTCTCCTGACCCTGTGCTCTAACCACTAGCTCATGCTGCCCCATGTGACAGGCTGCTGTTGCCTTCATGCCTTGCATCCTGCTGCTGTCCCTTCCTATAATGGTCCTGATTTCCTACTCTGACCCTCCTCAAAACCCCCTATGCCTCCCTTATCCACCTCTCCTTGCCCCCACTTCTCCTTGCCTACTGCTTTCTGTCTGGACCAGCCTACCAGCGTCTCCCTGCTCCAAGCCCCGCCCGCCTCTTGTTCTCTCTCCTGCTGTCTTGCATACAAGAAAACAAACTGCAAGCTACATGCCAGATCTCAACAATGCAGGTTTCCAGGGCCTTGGCTTGTCTCTGCTGTGCCCGTAGTGTGTTAGCCAGCTCGTAAAATTCTGCAAAGCGCCATGCACGCTGATTAAAGAGGGAAGGAGAGGGATCGCACAGGGTGCTTTGGAAAGGAAGAGCTTAGAGGAATAGGATGAGACTGAACAAAGCAAAACTCTGGCTGGGGTGAAGGAGAGGAACCATTTCCTCATGCCAAGGTCAGTCACACTGTGGGACTGGTGTCCCAGGGGTAAGTCGTGGAATCTGGGTTGCTAGATGTTAGTCATTCACTGCCCAAGGCTTTATTTAGTCTGTGATGTGTAGATCAGTGGCTCTCAACCTTTCCAGATGACAGAACTCCTTCCAGGAGTCTGATATGTCTTGCGTACCCCTGAGTTTTACCTCACTTAAAAACTAGTAGCTTACAAAATCAGACATCAAAATACAAAAGTGTCCCAGCACACTATTACTGAAAAAATACTTATTTTCTCATTTTTACCATATAACTGCAAAAGAAATCAATTTAATATAAATATTGTACTTATCTTTCAGTGTATAGTACATAAAGCAATACAAACACATCATTGCCTGTATGAAATTTTAGTTTGTACTGACTTTGCTAGTGCTTTTATGTAGCCTGTTGTAAAACTAGGCAGATATCTCGATGAGTAGACGTATGCCCGGAAGACCTCTGCATAGCCTCAGGGATACATGTACCCCTGGTTGAGAACCACTCCTGGTTGAGAACCACTGGTGTAGGGGACGATCCTGCTGCTCTAGCTGGGTGTGCCTGGATGGTGGAATGCTCTGTGGGGCCAAGCTGCTCAGCTGGGCCTTGCAGCCCTTTTCTGGGTGCTCTAATGAGGAGATCTGCGGAGGGCGTGCACAATGGGAGACCTGGCGAGGGGCGTTGGAAGGAGACGTGGAGGGAGCCAAAAGAAAATGGAGCAGACAGATTGGGTGACTATAGAGCTAACTGGAGGCAGGGGGCTTCTAAGGGCTTGGTGTGACACTGTATCTCAGGGGAACAACCTTCACCCCCATGTTCATCCTTATAATATGATTCTGTGGTATCCAATGCAAAGTTTGTCATGTTGGGTGTCTTCGGAAGGCTCATGATGACTGAGCATTGTTGTTATAGTAATGTTATAGGTTGTAATATCATGTATATAGTTATGAGGCTGAAAACGTGTCCTCGTGGCTTAAAACAAGCCCAGGCAAAACTCTCCAGGAACAGAGGGG